AAACATGTATACTTATATTCAAGAAACCTGCTTTTCGGAGTACCAATCTCTCTTTAAGGCAAGAAAAGTTATAAATATCGTATATTTTGGCGCATTTCAGATAATATGATATTCCCTATTTTTTGTTTCGGTATGATTTATCTCTTTTCTTTTATCTTTTTCAGATCGATTTCATTCAACAGGAACGACTACTTTGTGAGGCTTAAAATGGAGAACATGAAACTTAAAATTGAATTTAAATTTTAAATATTCAGTTTTGTAATGAAATGTTCTGATGGCTTATTGACTTGTTGCAGATAAAGAGGCAAATTCGCACTGTTTGCAGTTCACAGGAAATTGTTGCATTATGGCTATCACCTTTACAAACACATGGTAATTAGAAGGGGCTTTCGTTGTCTATGCCAAGTAACAAATGTTGTTCTACTATAATATAAGAAAAAGTTAGAAAATAGATGGGAAGTGATAGGTTGAGCATCAAGTTTTCTGAGGAGTTCAGGGAGGATGTTAAAACAAAAATAGTGGTATTTGCTAGCAACAACATAATGGAGGCAGTCAATCAATATAGATTGATCCGAAATCTGATTCAAATCCAACATAGCACCCATGTATGGATTGATTGAATGTTAGATATTGTTTTGAAAAATTATTGTCTTTTATATGGTAAATGTATGAAATTTATTGCTTTGAGATTTTTATGTTGTTTTTGTTGATTGATATTATTATTTATAATATATAATTATATATAAATACAGGGCTGAAATATGGTTGAAAGAAAATAATATGCTCTTTAGAGAWGGAATCGATGTTTTAAAAGTTCATCTAAAGATAACCTTTAGAGAAATTTTTGATTATTTATATCTAAAGATAACCTTTGGAGAAGGTTTTCAAAGTAGTAAAATATACTAAAGACAATACCTTTAGAGAAGTTTTTTTTGTAAACCTTCTCTGAAAGTATTTTTTAGAGACGTTTTTAAACTGTCACAAATACTTGAAAAACGTCACTAATAAATACTTTTAGAGAAGTTTTTTTGTAAACCTTCTCTGAAAGTATTTTTTAGAGACRTTTCTAAACCGTCACAAATACTTGAAAAACGTCACTAATAAATACTTTTAGAGAAGCTTTTTGAAAAAAGTTGACTCACCTTTAGAAAAGTTTTGAAAGTGTATCTAAAAGCCCCCAAAAAAGCGTCTCTAAAAGCTAACAAAAGCGCACCCTCCGAAAACTCTCCCTAAAACCTTTACCTACCGTTATATAGAGAAGCATTGTGATGGAATTGAAAAGCTTCTCTAAAACCTTTAGAGAAGCTTTTTAATACTTTTAAGCTCAAAACAAAACCTTCTCTAAAATCCTTTTATCTTGTAGTGTTAATTACTCAAATATACAATTATGTTGATTTTTGCAGTTTCAATATGTTCACAGATTTATTTATTTGGTTTCAATAATTGTCAAGACTTATTTGTTCAAAAATGTCTAAAAACTTAATCACTCAAAATATGAAAGTCGGATTGCGTTTTTTTCAAACTTCTCCCTTTTTACAATATAGTAAATATATGTTTACGGATAACCGGAAAAAATAAATGGTTGAACTTCAAAGAAATGGTGGACTTATAACATTTAAAAATGTTATACAAAGTTTAATTAAATATAAATAAATGGTAAGTCCAAATATGTAACGGTCAAGTTTTTTTTTATTTTTATAAAACCTTTAACTATAGTGTATGTAATATTGACGTATTTTAATTAAAAACGAAACTTTGTTCCCACCTGCATTTAAAGAGTAAAATAAACTCTAAAGTAGTAAATAAGTTATCTAAAAATAATAATAAACGTGATTTTTTTTTACAACGTTCATAATAAATGTTTGATTCATATTTATTGTTAATATTCACTGATTCTTAATAAAAATGGGCTCATAATTATTTTTAATCTAATATATAATTAAAATATAAAAATACATTTATTTTTTGCTTCATTTATATAATTTTTAAAATTGATTATTTTAGGTAATTTTAATGATGAAATTAAAAATAAAATATTAATAAAGCAGCCTTGGGGCTGAGGGAGTAGGTAGGCATTTAGCTCAAACCAAACAAACATTGACTTGAACAATCATATGCTTCATCATGCTATAACTATACTTTGTTTCTTCTACTAATTTACCAAACTACCCTTCCACCTAACCCTCTTCTTCACCTATATTTGTTTTTTTGAGTAAACTACAAAATTGGTTTATTATTTTAAAACTATAAGATGATTATGGTAGGTTGTAAAAATATTTGGACTTGGTCCTTATTTTTTATGGCTGTTTAAAGAGCTCGTTAAATAAGAGATTTGTTATCAGTTTTTTCTTAATCAAAATTAATTTTATGATTTGGTCCTTGTAGTTTTTAATTGCGTAAAAGATAAAAATAACCATGACTTACAACGGTTGTTAAAGAGAGGAACCAAATCCAGACATTTTTATAAACCATGGTGGTCATCTTATAATTTTAAAACTCTAAGAGTTATTTTTGACAAACCATAGGAATCAAAATTGTAGTTTACTTCTGATTTCTTTTGTTATATTATATACAATACAATTATGGTTTTCATTTCATTTGCTTAGAAAATCACATTATTTAATTATTCGTTTTGAAGATGCCATTGATTTTTATATTAGTTTTAATTAAAATGTAGTTTATATTTTTTATTATAAATAAGTAAAAAGAAAAAACCAACAATTACCTCCCACGTAATTACTTATATCCATTTCAACGATTTGTTTTCTTATTTAATATTGAAAAGATTAAAACCCATAAAATTTGTATAGCAATGGCCACAATTTATGTATGTCTTAATAAAAATAAGTAAATTTATCTTTCGAATTTAAATCTTATTTTAAATAATATTTTAATAAGTTATATATATATATATATATGTTTTTATTAACCTAGATATCTAACCCACTATACGAGCCGACTAATCCCATTACGACCACCTGATTTACAGATAGCCCGGAGTCACCGCATTTGAATCTTCATGGCCATAAGGGGATTTTTATTCTTCCTTAAATTTGAACCTGGTACTTTTGACTTTTGGAGCCAAGCTCAAACCAATGAAGCACCACCCTTGTGGTTAAGTTACGTATATTTTTAATTATGCCTTTTAAATTAGATTATCTGAAATAGAGAAAATAGATATATTTACCTTTTTTTACCTCAAAAGATTATTTAAACCTTATCCTAAATCGAGAATCTAGAAAAAAGCAGGAAAAAATATCCATATATGAAAAACTCTCCAAACATGGTTTATCAAATGTATTTAATTTCCTATTCCGATAAAGTTTAATGCATTATTATTTTATATAAAATTTGTTTAAAGGCTTAATGAGATATTAAAGGTATTGAATATTTTAATAACATAATTAATGTTGTAATCGGCATAATGTATAATATGTTAGAGTTGGATGTAGAGATTTTACTTTGAGTGAATTACATCATTAGTCCTTGTGGTTTGCTCCAAATTTGGATATCCTCCCTGAAGCGTATATCTACAGTAGTGGTCCTTAACTTTTCATTTTCAGAACAATGGTAGTCTCTCGAGTTAACACCATTAGTTAAAGGTTGTTAGCCACTCCATATCTCTATTACATGAGGGATAATTTTGTCTTCGTTCTCTTGATCCATTTTTTGAATTAAAACAAAAGCAATTCATCAAGATCATATGAAATCTCAGACATTATTAGCAACAAAAATATTAAAAATTCTAAATCAAATCAAATACAAAAACAAATTTCAATAACATATAAACTCAAATGTAAAGATGGAATTAGAAACTGAAACTGTTTTCTATTAAATATAAATACAAAACAACTCACAATAAAAATCCATAGAACCCAAAATCAAACCCTAAAGCTCAAAATCAACCCTCATGCTTCAAGGGGTTGCATAAATAGATGTCAGAATTCCGATCAAGCATCGATTCATGGTGTATATTTACCATGAGGTTCACCGTTCACAAATCGTGAAGGGGATGGTTCATTGTATACGGTGTATTCTAAAATCAAACTTGGATATGTTGCTTCTTCTTTAATCGAACTCACCGGCATTAAAGTCACAAGGTTCACCATTTTTCATTCAGACATGTTGCTTCTTATTCTTGGTTCACTCTTTCTAATTTGTTCCAAATCTCATTTCCATTGTCTTTGGCTTTGGAAGTAATCATTGGAGGGAAGAGGGTGATTGATTTGTTTCTTCTTCTTTGAGCAAGAATGGAGAAGGGGGGGGGGGGGGGGGACAGAACAAAAGGGGAAAGCGTTGCCGAAAAACGAAAGGGGTTTGTCGGAGAAAGGCCAGGACATAATTTGCCGAGATTTACAACATTCACTGTGCATGGTTGATTTATACATACATAATATATGTTATTAATTATTCAATATAACATTAGTTTATGAATTTAAGAAATTAAGTCAAAAATGATGGATTTGCCCTCATCTAAGAGGCACATATCTCTATCTAACGGTGTTAACTTAAAAGAACTGCCGGTGTTATGAAAATGAAAAATCAAGAACCACCGATATAGATAATGTGTTTGAGGGACCATGTCAAAATTTAGAGCAAACCACATGGACGAACGGTGTAATTCATTCGCATGTTCTATTCTCCATTTTAGAAAACTCATGGAAAATGTGTGGAAAATACTTCCATATTTTGGAATCTAAAGACTTTTCAACATGTAATTTTTGGTCATCATGACCATTTACCTTATTCATCATAATTAGTTCATCGGCTAACAAAATTATTGTAAAATATAATTTTAACATCATATAATTACCATTTTTATCCGCAATTTTTTTCATTTGATATAAAAAGACCTTTTTAGAAAGCAAAATATTTTATGTTGAGTTAGGGAAAAATATTAAAATAAATACTTTTTAATTTGATGATTTTTTTTTTATTTTCCTACCTAACCCTTCCTTATATAACCCCCTCATGCATCCCCAACCCCTGAAGACACCCTCCGATCACAACCTATTTACCAAAATGGCACTCTCCACCACCAACTCTCTCCTCCCCACCAAATCCTTCCAAATGCAATCTCTCCCACCACCACTCAAATCTTTTCCGACCACCACACCCACCGCCACCAGACTCATCCAACCAATCTTCGCCGTCCATTCACCCGACCCATCGAAAACCCCCGTGGACAAGTCATCATCTTCATCAAAACCCTCCTCCCCTGCCACCGCCGCCACCTCCTCCACCACCTCTCCGACGCTCACCGCAACCACAAAAACTTCAGATTCCAAATCTCCTAAACAATGGTCCATCGACAGCTGGAGAACCAAAAAGGCACTTCAACTTCCCGAATACCCAGATCAAGTCGAGCTCGATTCGGTCCTCCAGACCCTCGATTCCTTCCCGCCGATTGTGTTCGCCGGAGAAGCTCGCCACCTTGAGGAACGCCTTGGTGAGGCTGCTATGGGGAATGCCTTTCTTTTGCAAGGTGGTGATTGTGCTGAGAGTTTCAAGGAGTTTAATGCCAACAATATTCGTGATACTTTCAGAGTGATTCTTCAAATGGGTGCTGTCTTGATGTTTGGTGGTCAAATGCCTGTCATCAAGGTCAGTATCTTTCTTTATTATACACATTATTATGGTTTGAGTTTGACCCTTTTCGATTTTCTTGGTAATCCATTCAATCTATAATTGAATTACACTTTGATCACAAATTTTGATACAATATCAAGTTGAAAAGCTGTTAAAGCTGAAACCTTTATCTACATGGTTGTAGTTTTTCCCCTAAAAGTTGAAATTCATGCCAATATTCTGTAATTCATTAGATTTTCTTTAATTTTCAAAATAATTCGTATCTGTTTTTGGCTAAAGACACCATCTTGATTTCATGAAAATTGCTAACTTTTTCATGCTAAATCAACTGTTTACCCATCATCCAGTAAATTGATGATATACTAGATGAATTATATGAAGGGAGTGAAGATCTTGTTTGAATTTGAATTTGAATTYGGATTCTTGGAATTTGATGAAAACAGGTGGGAAGAATGGCTGGTCAGTTTGCAAAGCCCAGATCAGACTCTTTTGAGGAGAAAGATGGTGTGAAGCTACCAAGKTACAGAGGAGATAATGTAAATGGTGATGCATTTGATTTGAAATCAAGAACACCAGACCCTCAAAGATTGATCAGAGCATACTGCCAATCAGCGGCCACTCTTAATCTCTTGAGGGCTTTCGCCACCGGAGGTTATGCCGCTATGCAGAGAGTTACTCAATGGAATCTTGATTTCACCGAGCAGAGCGAACAGGGTGATAGGTATGCTACTCTATTAAGTGATTCATTTATTCACACATGAATCATTTATCTATRTATGAACCTTGATTCTTGGTTATTAGTATGATTTAGATGTATTTATGATGAGACTTTTGCTATGGGATCTTAGGTATCTTGAGCTAGCTAGCCGAGTTGATGAGGCACTTGGGTTCATGTCGGCTGTCGGACTTACAGTGGACCACCCTATCATGACCACCACTGATTTCTGGACATCCCATGAGTGCTTACACTTGCCATATGAGCAATCTCTCACTAGGTTGGATTCAACTTCTAGCTTATACTATGATTGTTYGGCTCATTTCCTCTGGGCCGGTGAGCGAACTCGCCAGCTTGATGGTGCACATGTTGAGTTCCTTAGAGGAATCGCAAACCCACTTGGAATTAAGGTATATTTGTGGTCATTGATTTCTTTTTCTTGCACCCTTTTAGTCAAAAAACATGAACACGAAGCTGAAATTACTATTTTGTCCCTGTAGGTGAGTGACAAGATGGATCCGAATGAGTTGGTGAAGCTTATCGACATCTTAAACCCTCAAAACAAGCCGGGGAGGATTACAATCATAACAAGAATGGGAGCGGAGAACATGAGGGTCAAACTTCCGCATCTTATTAGAGCGGTTAGAAGGGCTGGTCAAATCGTGACGTGGGTCAGCGATCCTATGCATGGCAACACTATTAAGGCTCCATCAGGACTCAAAACTCGCCCCTTTGATGCTATCAGGGTAACTTACTCATCTCATCACTTGTATCAACCTTCTTTAGTTATATCATAATTTAGAAACCAAAATCATATTTAGGAAATTTTACCAAACCAAAGAAAAATCTATAGTTAACATCTTTTCACAAGTAAGTGGTCTTCATAGAAATAACTGCTTTACTCTTCATAGTAGAGGTCACGTTTGCATACATCTTACCCTCCCCATACCCCACCTGGGATATACTGAGTTTCTTTGATTTGGTTACATCTAACCCTATGAAAAAGGGTATTTAATGTGTGTTCTACTTATCGTGTGGACCTTTGTTAGCATATATACGAAGGGAGGTGTGCATTTATGTGTGAAATGTCAAGAATGAAGTCATTATCGAGTGAATTATAGGACCCCTTCTCTCTATCATGATATAGTATCACTTGATCATCAAGTGAACACGTCATATTCCTCGAACGACAATAACTTTGTGTTGATGTTTGTCATGTGCATTTATTTAAGGGTAGGGTCTGTTTATTTCAAGTATACTTTAGTCATGGGGTTGCCATGTGCACAATGTCGTAGGTCTTTTTGATTCTCATTGTTATTGTTGGAGTCCCTGATCTGCTAGACACAAACCATCAAACCTATATGTATAGGATCCTTCCTTTTTCTCCATGAGGGATCTTTTAGAGAGTGATTCAAAAAGATTTCACATACTCTCAAAACATGGTATCAAAGCTGGTGTCTAATAAAAAAGAGTTGTTATAACAGGCGGAAGTGAGAGCGTTCTTTGATGTGCACGAGCAAGAAGGAAGCCACCCTGGAGGAGTTCATCTTGAAATGACGGGGCAAAATGTGACGGAATGCATTGGTGGTTCAAGAACGGTGACTTTTGACGACCTTGGGTCACGGTACCACACTCACTGCGACCCTAGACTGAACGCGAGCCAATCGCTAGAGCTTGCATTCATCATTGCGGAGCGGCTCAGAAAGAGGAGAATGGGGGTGAAACAATCTTTGGCTCTCTGAGACACCATGAAGGACTTGCTTGTGGTTGAGTTATGTTATGAAAGTTTGCTTGTTTTGAGTTGAGGGGTTTTGTGTTGTATTTGTATACTGGAAGAAGGTGAAGGTGTTTTTGAGAGTTTGGAAATGATGAGAAAGTGAAATGATAAGTTATGTATGATCTGATCTGATACAACATATATCATGAAAAGTTGCTATGGACTGTGTTTTTATTTGGGTTGTTCATTTGTCCTTGATGGTTTGGTTTGGTTTGGTTTGGTTTGGTTTGCAATTAGATGATGGTTGTAGCCGTAGGAAGATGACACAAAAAGGGCCTTCTACTCCTACTGCTTTTTAAATATGCATTAGGAATAGGAATAGGATTAGATTGCTTATATTTTTGCTGAACAACCATTTCTTCTACAACATAAGGTTTTATTCATATACCAGGTGCAGGTGGTAACTTTACTTAGTTGTTGATTGATGAAAGAAAGCATCGAAAGTTTGAATTTGATACAATGGTTAAAAGGTATCACAATAATTGTCTTATAATTTTATTTCTCAATGTTTTATTTTGTTAGAATTAAGAGAGTTTTTAAATACATTGCTTGTACAAAAATGAATATATATATATATACAAGTTTGAATTCGATATAAAGTGTTAAAATGTATCAGAATAATTATGATACAATTTTATTTCTAAATATTTTATTATGTTAGAATAAAGAGAGTTAAAATATATTGGTTGCAAAAAATGAATATGTAGCGTAAAAGAAGTTAAATTGTGAAATAACATACTATAGATATATAACTAATTTATTGGTTTTGGTTGTCTTATTATTATAAGAATAAAGAGAGGTGTAATATATTTCTTGTGAAAAATAAAAATATAATTTATAAATAACATATATCAATTCGGTATATTATTATGTGTAAAGCCAAATATTACCTTTTATAATAAAAAATCCAATAAAATTGTGACATGGAACGTGGTTATAGTATAAAATTATCAAATTATGTTTTAGTTCGAAAAGATGGGAAATTATCGTTTTTTTTCCTTCTATGAATATCCTGAATCCTAAAAAAATGTAGTAGAAGATAAATAATTAATTGTTTACAAAAACAATCTACAATCTTCAAAATGAAAATAACAAAATTACCAATCCGAGACATCTAGATCGATTTCAAAGTCCATATTGTGTGGAAAATTGAGGTACTAATTCAAAATGAAAACATACAATTTCCACGTTTTGTGTATCCAGTCTCATGGAGATATTGGAGCATCTAATTAGTTTTCTCGGAACTTCAGAGATGAAGTAAACACACCAGCAACTGATTTTGCCATAGAATTTTCTTGTTCCTTCTTATATGGTTTCTCTAATCTCCTTCAGTTTGCTTTTAATCGCAGACAACAGAGTACATAGAGAGATCGAGAAAATAGAACTAAACACCCATAATTATTGTTACATATCTTTCTATAGATGCATAGAAAGATAGAGAAAGGCGTATCGCTAGCTATACTATCAATCCATAATTTCTTATCGGGATCGAGAGATGTAGAAGAGCAAAGAAGTTTGTGATAAAAAGATGTAGAAGAGAAAGAATTGTAACGGTAGAAGATGAAGAGTAAAGAAGTTTATGATAGAAAGACGTAAAAGAGAATGAATTGTAACGGTAGAAGATGAAGAGTAAAAGTCTTAGATTAAATAAAAACCTAAAATAAAAAGAAAAAATGGAGAAAAAAAGGAAGACATGAATACTAGTATAAGGAGATGTCATATCAATATTGTATGTTTCTGCTTTATCTGCTTTATAGATATATATAGATTATTTCCTAAGTAAATTATAGGGGTTTAATTTGGTTTATTAATAAATATAAAGAAATGTTATTAAATTCATTGTTGTTGCCTGTTGGTACATATAACATGGTAAGAGTTGGACCATATGAAATCATCATACAATCATTATCATATCAAAGGGATCTTTCCATTGTTCGATTGAGATACCATTTTTAAGAATCTTCAATAATAAATAAATAAAATCCAACATTTCTATATATTATATATATTACTTATATTATAATTATTATTCCTTCAAATAACAATATTAAAAAACAAGCAAAAAAAACCAAACCTTTGATTTTAGTATGGACTGTTAAATACAGGTTTATAATGAACATTTAAAGAAGCAGTTTTGTTTGGTTTATTATATATTTGGAAATTCAATTTAATGAATTTGTTAATAGCACATATAATAATGACCTAAAAAGATGAAGACATGTTAAAAATTATCCACTAGTTGTGTTTAAATACGAACCATGTTATTATTTTTCGATTAAAAACTCGTATAATTAAGCCTATTTGTGAAAAATACAAACAAAATTGAATGCTTTTAAAATTGGAGAGTTTTGATGTATAGGTAGCTTTTTTTTTTTTTTTTTCTTCTGGTAGTTGTTGGAGATTTATCCCTTGTTTTAATTTGAAATCCTATTTTAAGTAAATAAAATGTATTTAAACAAATAATGGACAAATTATTAAGCTTAATGCATTAAGTTATGATATTTCTAAATTGTTAACAAATAAAATGTATTTGTAACAATTTGAGTTTTTCTTTGATACATTAATAATGTCTTATTTATTTATTTACTTTTTTTATTGTGTTGTTTCATCTTGTTGTGTTGTATTTTCATTATCAGTACCATTATGTTGTAGATTTTCATATAACAATTCATTTGGAATGGAAGAAAATGTGCGATATTTATTTGGGTTGGTAGAACTGCAATAAGTTGGGTTTGTTTTTTCTTTGATTTTGATAGGGACTCCCAAAAAAGTGAAAACCTGATTAAACCGTCAACCCAATCTTGTAAATAACCTGATTAATTCCAACTCCTCAAGTCGTCAAAACTGTCGACCTGTCAATTAATAGGGTTGAAATTGGGTAAGATATACCTCAACCCAATCCGTCAATTTGTGGATAATATATTTATATATATGGATTACAAATATGTCGGGTTACTAATTCTGAAAAAATCTTAAGAGCTTGAAATAAAATAAATGGAAAAAAAAGAGAAGTTACGTGAAGAATAACAAATTTTCAAGGAAATTTTTGTATTTCTTGCTTTTGAAAAACATGTACATGGGATGATGAGATATATATGTAATGTATCGTGTGAGAAGTGTAAGAAAAGATATGAATCTTTGATCACTTTTAATCTCATGTTTACCCATTAAATTGAGTTTTAGAAAGAAATTGATTCGGTGCATCTCGATGCAGCCTTATTAGTATTGACATTCAAAATATTTAAAAACAAATATGGATCAAGTTGAAAAAAAAGTTAAAGAAAGGCAGCAAGTTGAATGAGAGTTAGAAATTTTGGATTTGATTTTTAAGGGATTTCAAAAGATTCCATTTTAGATAACATAAAACTTTTTTTTTTTTTTTATTTGAGTCAATAACATAAACTAAATACATGCTAATAAGAATGATGCACAGCTTTGTGTGTTTGTTTTTCTTGAAGGTCCCATATATAATCTTTTAGGTGATTATATATGTATGGCCTTCATCCTAATAACACACACCCTATTCCTAACCTCATATTTCTATTTCTATTTCTATTTCTATTTCTATATATTCGATTCGATTCGACTGTGTATGAATGATATATGACAGATGATGCCTTGCAGCTCCTCCCAATCCATATTTATAAGAGATGAAGAAGCTCGTAAGCAAAGACAGAAACTACTTATCTTATATGCTGGGGAATTAAACAAACACAGATCATGAATTGAATTGAGCAGGGAATGGAAGTTCTTCAACAAAAATGTTTGTTTTGTAAATCATAAATGCCTCAATGGTTGTAATTGTTTATTTAATTTCCTTGTTTAGAATATTCATTCATTCTACAATACTATTTTACGGGTACAGTAACAGATTTGTATAATACAAGAGCCAAATGTATCTTTGTTTTTAGTTCCTGTCGATTTAAGAAAAAGTTAACAGCTAGTTTATGTAACTAGAAATAAAACAAAAAGTCGGCCATTCGGCATCGCTTTTATCATCTTCTGTTTCTTACACACAGGTCCCGCCTTCGTCCTACTCTTCAACCATCTTCAAATCAAGGCCTTCGTCCTACTCTTCAACCATCTTCAAATCNGCCTTCGTCCTACTCTTCAACCATCTTCAAATCAAGGCCTTCGTCCTACTCTTCAACCATCTTCAAATCTAAAACATCGATTCCAAGTCAAGTCCATTCAGATGCCAAGATTCACTATGACAATACTGCATTTCACAATACTGGTTCTGATATTATCAACCACCTTTGCAGGCTCTGAATCAGCTCAATCCCTATCCCTGCCCGCCTGCCCCGATAAATGCGGTAATATTACTATTCCCTACCCTTTTGGAACCAAGAAAGGTTGCTACTTGACCAAATCCTATCTCGTAAATTGTACGACACTAAGACTGTCCAATACCAGATTCAAACTCTTACACATATCACTTAACGGTTCTATGCGTGGATTCTTGCCTATGGGTTATCGTTGTTACAACAAGACTCGCGGTCTAATTAGCGCGTCAGAACCCAGAATTGCGTTGTCCAGGTTCCCTATTTCAAGCACACACAACCTCTTGACCGCGGTTGGGTGCGACACTAGAGCCAACATCAAGGCCTATGAGGGTGAAGACTACATAACMGGATGTCTATCAATGACTGGGTGTGATGGGTTAACCAATGGTTCATGTTTAGGCATGGGTTGCAGCCAGGTTCCAGTCCCTTATGATCTCACAAGTTTTCGCATCCATGCACAAAGCAACACGGGGAAAGTAGGGAAGTGGAGTTACAATAATTGCACGTATGCTTTTCTTGTTGAGAAAGACCGTTACACGTTTGTTGAAACGGATCTTGATAATATGCGGAATCGGTCTTTCCCAGTGGTTTTAGAATGGTCAGTTGGGAACACAAGCTGTAAAATAGCTCAAATGAACAAGACTACCCATCTTTGCAAAGAGAATAGTGTATGCTATGATGATTCGATCATATCGTTCAACCAAGGTTCTCAGGGGTATCGTTGTAAATGTGCTCAAGGGTACCAAGGTAACCCGTACCTCCCAAATGGATGTCAAGGTAATTTTGTATGTCAGAGTTTCACATTGGTTAGGCTTGAATTTTTCTACTTTATATATGGTAGGAACCCACTCTCTTTCCATTGGCTCATCTGACGAGTCCTATGATGGATTCCAAATATCTCACATGGTATCAATTACCTATGGGCATCTGTGTCCATCTAGCCTCGGTTGGAGGGGGCAGACGTGTTAGCGTCTTACAACAGCTAGACCTGGACTTTTTTATTTATTTATGTTGAAACCCCTCTTCTTTTCTCAAGGACCCTCGGTTGGAGAGGAGTTCCCCATATCTCATGGATCTTCTAAATACACACATTGTTCACCATGATTTGTACTTTTTTCAGATATCAACGAATGTGAAGGACCTAAGCACGATTGCGTGCATGCTTGTGGTAACACAAACGGGAGCTACAATTGTTCATGTCCGTTAGGGATGGGTGGCGATGGTAGAAAGGATGGGACCGGTTGTTCTTATTTAGAAGCAGCTAAATCGCTTAAAAGTTCAGTCTACCTCGGTCAGTATAAATTCCTTTCTCACTTGATCTCTTCTATGAAAATCATATGAGCATATGCAAAGCTTGGTGATCAAGTAGTACGAAGTTTCTTGCTTAATAGATAGAGGTATATCTGAGCTTGGCTAGGTAGCTACGGGTTTGTACAAGCTCGAGTCTTGGTCGGTTGGTTCGTGATTTAGGCTCACTACAAGAAAATGTCTTTTAGGTCCCCATCCGTCCTAATTGGAGTACTTAATGGGACTTTATGTTTAAACAACCAAGAACTGTGCGTCGTATATAAACGCATTACAATAACTTGTTACGACAAATAGACATGAGAATTGAATCATTCTATTAGTCTTTTTATACTATGCTTTTGAATAGTGTCCTATACATAAAAAGGCCAAGATGACGCTTTTCAAAAGTGTCCTATAATAAGGCTAATAGAACGGTTTTACTTTTTGTGTCATATTAAGTTGTCCAACTTCGTCAAATAGACCTTGTTAAGTCACCTAACACTCCGTTCTAACAACTTATTGTAATGCAGTTAGATAGGACGTACATAGTACTCTATTAGGATACCCAAGGAAGGTCGGACGTCCTAAAAAATACTCATTTAATTGTAGTGGTCATATGTTACCTGTGTTTAAGCTTGGTTCACCATTCTTAGCTCGAAAGAACTCATGTCAAGTCCTACCAAAGTTTGTATGATCGGTTCATGAGAATACATATGTGGTAGTGTTTTCTAACTATCAATCGACAGGTATCAGCATGGGAACCGCGGGTTCAGCTGTGTTAACACTTATCTTATACTGGGGAGTCAAACAAAGGCAAATCATGAAGAGCAGGGAGAAGTTCTTCAAGAAAAACGGCGGATTGATCTTGCAGAAACTACTCTTTGAATCTAAACATATGGAGAAGATCATATTTGCAGCACGAGATCTTGAAAAGGCAACGAATAACTTCAATAAAACCAATGTCATCGGTCAAGGAGGTTTTGGGATCGTGTATAAAGGCATACTAGCAGATAAAACAACGGTTGCCATCAAGAAATCTAAGTCGATTGACGAGAACCAGATTGAACAGTTTATAAATGAAGTGATCATTCTATCAGAGATTAGCCACCCGAATGTGGTCAAACTCTTGGGTTGTTGCCTAGAAACGCAAACTCCTCTTCTGGTTTACGAGTTTGTAGCAAATAAGACCGTTTTCCACCACCTACACGAAAAATACGAGATATCCTCAATGGCGTTTGAAAGGCGCTTAAACTTAGCCGCACAGATTTCTGAAGCTCTTGCTCATATACACTCATCTACACAAATCATTCATAGAGATGTTAAATCTTCAAACATACTTTTGACCGATGATTTCACTGCTAAAGTGTCGGACTTTGGGATCTCAAGGTTCATTCCTGTTGACGAGACTCATTTACAGACATTGGTGCATGGAACTCTTGGGTACATAGATCCTGAGTATTTTCGTTCTGGAATTTTGACCGTTAAAAGTGATGTTTATAGTTTTGGGATGGTTCTGGTTGAGCTTCTTACGGGTAGAAAGGTCTTTTCACCTGATGGAACCGAAAGTGAGTTGGGTCTAGCAACATTTTTCGTTTCTTCCATGGAACGGGGTCGTTTAATTCAAGTTCTTGATGATCGGGTGAGGAATGATGGGGTTAATGAGCATATTGAACACTTGGCAAGGCTTGCAAAAGATTGTGTGGAATTAGAAGGCAAGAAAAGGCCTACGATGAAAGAAGTGAAAGAGAAACTCGAGGAACTGAGACAATCTTACTCGAAGAGTTGTATCGTGTCCACGAAAATTAAGTTTATTGACTTTGACGAGCTTCTATTGTTTGATTGATAGAAAAAGGCGACACATTTGTCCCTACCTCAGTAGTAGGATGGCAGGCATCCATACCCATCGCTTACTGATGACTCACTGTGATTTACCTACGTCATGATGGCTATGGGACCGGTGCAATGGGATGATTCAGAGAATGGCTCATTCTATCTTTCCTAATTCATACCTTTCTTGTGTACTCAAAGTGTTTGGTTGAAAGAGTCACATTGTCATTTTAAACAAATTCGATTGGTCGGTTGTAACATAAAATCTTTTATTTTTGTGGACCGTGGGCATCAAGCCAGCTTGTGAGCACCACGACTAATCTCATGGACCCTAAAGCTACCAGCCAAAAAATCCCATTGGTCCGAGGAGACTCGAACTAGCGATCTTTGCGGAGGAATTTTGTTACCATCATTACGATTATTTGTTTCTTTTGTTACCGTAACCCTAAGGAAAAGTGATAGTGTTCGTAAAACGTCATGATTCCAATTGTTACTTTACACGAACGTAACTTCAAAATCCTGTAAAACAACCTCATAGCAAAAGGAAGTACTGAAGTTCTATCGGTAGAGGAGAATACGTTGTATATGCTATATTATTTAATTCAATATACTATAAAAACATATGTTCACTTTTTGGGCAGAGGTCAGGTCTGCATACATCATTACCGCTCAGACCCCACCTTCGAGTGAGATATATTGGGTTTATTTGGTTTGGGTTGGTTTATATACCACAACATATACGAAGGACGACTAACAAGATCTTATTACAGAACAAAAAAACTAAAATTTCGATAACCATTCATAAAAGAACTCACAAGTTATCTCCGATGATGAGCGAAGTAGCCGTTGACCAATAAAACACGTCGTTTTGTTGTTCTTTCACAACGAGCAAACATAATCGTCACTTATGTCTATATCTTCGATATCTGACTCATCCAAATCATCAAAGTCCATGCTATCGCCAAGAAGTTGTGCCGATCCATCATTGAGCATCCCGGGATGTATTCTTGCCTCTTGTATTATTGACAATATTTCATCAACGGTTTGATACGTGTCGTTTGAATTCGTGTCCTGAGAGCTTCCTTCGACCATTAAATCCGTAGGCAAGTTCTTTAAGAACCATGGGTGCATTTGAATTTCTGGAATGGTTATTCTCTGCAAAACCCGAAAAATAAGAACAAACAAGTTGCAAATGTTTGAGTCCCATATCAGCTAAAAACAAACCATCAAACATGCATATATAGACTTAAGTTTAGGGAAAACTAAAAAAAATGAAAAACTAAGGAACACCCTAGTAACCGTACATTCTATGCACATGTTCATACTGGACAAATCACTTTTATGCACACGTTCATACTGGACAAATCTGTCCACTTTTATGCACATGTGCATACACATCATCCATATACAAACCATCAAACCTGCATTTAAAGTTGCAACGTTTCTTTATTTGTAAATATATGGCATTTTAAGGTTCTACCTTCTCGGGATTTGCAACGAATATCCGATACAGAAGATGTCTGCATTCCAATGAAATTTCTACAGTATCTGGAATCGCATATTGGACACTAAGTATCCGCTGTCATAAATCAAACTAATTTTAATCAAACTCCATAAAAAACGACATTTTTAACTTCAGTTAAAGTTTAAGATATTACGCACACAAACAGTTGTTCGAAAGTTCTTTGGATCATCCGGATCTCCAAAAGGATATAGCCCGACGAGCATCACGTACAGCGTAACCCCACATGACCAAACATCTGCAAGCTACAATTTCCCAAGGGCTAAAATAGGAAATGCAAAATTCTGAAAGACTTGTTGACTTTTCAAACCATCGTACTTGGCCGTTCATTGCATACAAAATATCGTTTTTATTAAAATAACACTTGGCTTTGATGTATGAGCGATTTTGGACAAAGATGCTTGTTTTTTTCACAATTAAGCCATAATTGGCAACCATAAGCCATTTGGTTAACCAAAATGTAAGCTTGCTTTTGAAAAAATTATCTGCCAACAGCTAGTGTTTCAGCCAAACGTAGCCTCAGCAAGAAAAAATTTACTCTTGAAACCCTCGTAAACTGGTGTTTGTATGGAGAAGTCAAGTACAATGGTTTAAAAAATCAATTACCCGACTATTGAATGATAAAAAAATGCAAAGGCGGCACCTTTCCATCATATTCTTTTCTTGATAGAACTTCGGGTGCGATGTAAGCAGGTGTCCCCACTGCTGACTTCGGTTGAGAATGCAGAACCGCCGACTGAATTGCACAAACCGCAGCAATTCGATAATCAAAACTTCGAATGACACTACAACAAAATCGGCTTTATAGGACACCAATATGTCTAAATGTCTTAATAGACTACATTATAGGACCAAACAATTATGTGTCCCATGTAATAGTATTACAATAGGATAAGAGGATGTATTTGGCCATCCTAACAAGTTTTTAAGGACACTTCTGAAATAAAGTGTCCCATTAGCTTTTTCGTAGAACATCTTTGAAAATTGTCTTATAAACACATTTTTATAAGACATGTTTTTAAGTAATGTCATAGAAAGACTAATAGGGTGTTTTATTTCACAAGTGTCCTAAAAAATTTGTTAGAACACCCAAGAGCGTTCTAACACCGTATTGTAACACCTTTACATAGAAGGTACAACTGTTTAGTACTATAAACTTAAGTCCTGTAAAGCAGTCTATTAGGACATCTAAACATATATGGCATCCTATAAAGACAATTTAGTTGTAGCGTGGAGATAGAACCCACAAAATGCAAACGAAAATGTGGTAAATGCATTACCTTCGAATACCCAAAATCACATATTTTAACACGAGGAGCTGTGTTTCCATCTAGCAGTGTGTTTTCGAGCTTAAGATCTCTGTGACAAACTTCCTACAAACAGACCAATTTCTCGACATCTAAAACCAGAGCCAATAACGTTGTGAATAGAAAGAAAGACCAGATTGAACAAATGAAGCTTATACCATCGTATGACAGTAGCTAACTCCCGATATAAGTTGTTGAAAGAAAAATCTCGCCTGTCGCATTTACGAGAAAAACCGAGATCAAAAAGTTAGATATTCATGATATTCAACTTCAATCGGCATTCAAGAATTAATCCATGCGTACATAGACAACTTGCCTCATTCTCACTGAATTTACCCGCATTGCATATCCTCTCGAAAAGCTCCCCACCAGCAGCATACTCCATAACTATTGCTAGATGAGTCGGTGTTAGCAAGACCTGAAAAACCATAAGCCGATGCATCTTATTGATTTGTAGACCAGCACTAGCAGCATACTCCATAACTATTCATGTTTGCTGATTCAATGAGCAAAACACACTCTACAACAAACTCGGTTTTGTAGGACGTCAAATATGTCAAGGGGTTGTTTGGTTGGTTTTCCATTAAAACCCGTATGCATAAAGATGTCTTTCTGTATTAATCTGTCTGTATAGACTCGGAAGATTTTCGTTTGGAAGAGTTTTTTCATCATTGAAAGGAGCATGTTTTTTAATTGGGAGGGGCAGGTTTGAAAATTTTTTTGGCTTTCTGCATAAAGCTCTCCGTTAGAAGCTTATTGAATAAACCACTTTCTATTTCATTAAGCCACTACCAAACAATCATATATAGCTGACCGAATAAGCTGCGTCTCATTAAGATGCTACAAACAGGCCCTAAATGTCCTATTAGGCTGGTTTATAGTACCAAACAATTAGCATCCTATGTAAACATGTTACGATAAGTTGATTGAACATTTTTGTAAGTCCTGCCAATTTTTAGGACAATTTTGAAACATAGTGTCCATTTTGTCTTTTCACATGACATGTCTGAAAAGAGTGACTTATAAAAGCAAGTGACATATACAAAGACTTGTTCATAAAAAGTGTCTGTAAAATAACTAATAGAATACTTTTATTTCAAAAGTGTCCTAAAAACTTGTTAAGATGCCAAATACATCCTATCAACTTGTTGTAACACTTTCATGTATGATGCACAATTTTTTGGTTGATAAACTTAATTCCCATAAAGCGGTCTATTATGACATTTAGACAGATTTCCGTCCTATAATGTCGATTTTGTTGCAGTGGCAAGTACGAGATGTGATGTCAAACTTGTAATAGTACATCATCTTGAACAAGTGAAGTTGAATTATAAACAATCTGAATCTTTTTTGATACTTCTGTAGCATAACATATTTAGAGGATAAACACTTCACAAAATCCATTGAATCTTTGTAGTCAAAGTTTGACTTTTTTGGTGTAGTTAGCAAATTTCAATAAACCTCTGCTTAATTAAGCAGTGCTTAACCATCAGATGATTACCAATTTTCAAATCAAAAAACAGAAAGTATATAGTTAAGTATATGTCCAGTATCTACCTCTTTGAATCTGATGATATTTGGATGCTTCAAAGATCTGTGATTCATAATCTCCCTCTGTACATGTTCATCAATCTGCAAAATTTTAAAAATCTTGATCAAACCCAGAAACTATTTGCATTAAATTCAGACAACAAATGAATCAAAACATCAAAAGATTCAAAAAATCTAATCTTTATGAAGAAAATCATAACCTTTTTGCCTCTTTCAATAAACTTGACTGCAAACAGCTCTTTGGTTCCCTTGTCCCTAACAAGCTTGGCTACCCCAAAATTGCCAGACCCAATTTCTTTAACCAGTTCATATCTCTCCATTTTTGCCCTAATTCAATCAAGAAACTCAAATCATCAACACCCACAAACCCTAAACTAAACCCTGTTTTTAATCAAGAAACTCAAATCAATCAACACCCACAAACCCTAAACCATTGATTTTAATCAAGAAACTCAAATCATCAACACCCACAAACCCTAAACCATGTTTTTATCAACAAACTGAAATCAATCAACACCCACAACCCCTAAACACGGATTTTGGTTGGAGCAGATATATGATTTGACAAAAATGGAAATTTCTGGAGGTTAGGTAGATGATGAAGTGTAATATGGGTTAGTGAAGAAGAGCAGACTTGACTGATGACTTGCTATATATAGAAATATTGATGGATATATAAAGAAGTAAAGAAGAATATCTATCTTAATATACTACCCATACCTTGCTATTATTGGATGAAAATAGTGCCCTAGGTGTCCATACCAGGTTCACCTTTTAAGTTTTGAGGAGTTGTAATTCCTCTGCTTCCAAAATTAGTATTTTCCCTGATTAAATTTAGTATTATTATGTGCAATTTATATACCTTAATCAAAATCAATATAAGTTTATGATTATGATGTGTTTTATTTAACTTTTTAAGGATGAATCTTACAAAAGGTATTAAGATATGATGAATCTAGAAACATGTGTGGCAAGTTATGGAATCCATCATTATGGAGGAATTTGTTTGGTTATTAAAGTATTCTTTGGATCATATAATCTTTATGTAAAGACATTTTAGATACATGGTGTGTAAGTTTTCTATTTTTCATCTTTTTTATTATTTTTTTAATTAAAGTTATGCATAAGGGAAAGCAAACAAATTCATATAAAGACCCTAAAGCATGCAAAAAAAAAACTTGGAAAATTGATTTATATAATCGCTAAAGGTGTTTTCAATCAATTGAGTTTTTTATTATGTGATATCGTTAAAGATATTAAAATCTTAAAAGAACGGTCTTATTTGTCTCAAGATCAATTTTTTTATCATTATGGTTAAGGTAGAAATAGGTTTGTATCAGGTTTTTGACTTAAAAAAATATCAAGAAAACATTCGGCAGTAATTGAATAGTCATTGCATAACCATGAAAATGGTATAACTTAAGGTACTTACAAGCCATGGTCAAGAAATCATCGATCGCATGTATCTAAATAAAAGTTTACAATATTATATGTTAACAAGGTTCCATGGTGCGAGTCGCGAGACATGGTGTGGCGGCGAGGTCACCTCAAGCCTTAGGAGTCAGGCGGGGCCACGACGTTTTTCAAGACGTGACTTATGGCGGCAAAATCTTTATATCATATATAATATTATACGTATAAGCATCTATTTTCTACTATTACTTAATGCGTCTATGATATTAAATAATTTAAATTATGTTATATATTAGAAACTAACGAATAAGACATCAAAAAGTAAAAAAAAATATATTGCATTACGAAAACAATGCATCAAGCCATGGCGTTCCACAGGCATAACATGGTGTGATACACAAGCTTAAAGCCACGACGTTTGTTACAACGAGCTATTTTAGAACATTGTGTGTTAAGCATAAATGTGATGGGTCAGGCCGTTTCCAAAAATACTTGGGCGGTTGGGTGGTGGAAGGTAGCTATGACAACGACAATAGCGGTCAGTAGGTTGGGCGAGCAGGGATTGTGTGGGGGTGGTAGTTGTGATGACGACAATAATGACATAGTGGTCGTGGAGATGAGGGTGGGTGGCTGGTAGCTATGACGATGACAGTAGTGGCATGGTGGTCGGTAGGGTGGGGTGGTAGTTGTTATGACGACAATGATGACATGGTGGTCGGGTGACAGAGGTGGTGGGTGTAACGATGACAGTAGTGGCGTGATGGTCAGTGATGGGTTGGGGGTTAGGGTAGGGTGGGGGTGAGTGGTGGTTGTTATGACTACTGTAACGGTGTGATGGTGGGTGGGTTGGTGGTGGGGTTGTGATAGTAACAGTAGTTGCATGATTGTGGTGGGGGAGGGGTGGGCGGTGTTGGTTAAATTGAATGCAAAACGATGGAATTCAATTTATTCACTTATGTCAAAAATGATGAATTCATTAATTTATATTCAATATATTTCAATATTTGAACCAAACAAAGGAATTGGAATTTGATCAAATAAATTGATCATTCCAATTCCCTTGAAATCCTTTGAATCTTGTGAACCAAATAGTACCTTAGAAATCTTATGAGGGTAGTTGGTATTTTGCGGAGTTCCATAGGATTTGTTTGTAGTAATTCTAAAATATGTCAAAAAAACACACTTGTTTTGTAATTGTTTTTTGTAATATTCAATTAATACAAAGGTAATTTAATCATTATTATAATTTGTTTTTATAAATTATTTATAAAAAATATAATTCAGTTTCATTCCAAAATCCTATAAACTAGCAAATCAAAATTTTCAAATTATTCCAATTCTAAATCATCCCACAAAATCCAAGTTTCTTAAAAACATTTTATCAAACCAAACGAACCCTATGACCCTTTCTTCAAAAAAAAAATGCTCCTGAGTCATTTGTCTCGATCAAAAAAATGTCACATCCAAATTTATGTTTTCATTTATATAGTCATGTAAGCGTTTGAATGTCTTATTCTTGGTCATTTTGATTATCTATTTCAATTATATAAACGTACTTCCGTTTGCATGCATATGTAAATTATAGTTCGTCGATTTTATCTAATGTCTTATAAAATACATTAAAAATACGTTTGAACTGTTAAACGTTTCATTACATCATCTAAATAGTTAAGGTTTATTAATGAATTATTAACAATTATGTACCTGTATACTTTATTTAATTACTTTATACTTATTTCATCTAACCAAAAAAATTCAATTAATGATTTTATTTAATTATTTTATACTTATTGCCAACAGGCGTCTATTATTGAATTCACCCGACCCGCCAGTACCCGTTTGGGGAACGTCCAGTGCCAAAGTCACTGTTCACAACAAAAAATACATACAATTTTTACCAATGTGTAATTTTTAGTTTGTGATTAACTAAATGACTGATTTACCTTAAATAATACAAGAATTAATAAACTCTTTCATCTCATAATTAAGCGTAAAATTTAATAATAGACACTTAATATGTCTGGTTTTTTGTCTGAAGAAAGGCAAATTGAGAGGTGGATTTGGTAAGGTATCAAGTTTTTTCCTCAAATACTATATACCAACAAATTATAATTGGTACACAAAATTTTATATTATGTACCAATCAACTGTACTTTGTGTAACTGATACCAACTCTTTTCGGTTGGTACCAGTTTTATACCAACTTCAAGTTATATATATGAAAACTGTTATTATGTTTAAATTTGAAAGTGACTATTTGAGTTATTAGGTAACACATGATTTTTAAAGGTTTTTTATTGCAATGAAATAAAATTTGCAAACATTCAAATGTTACGGAGTTTTTAAAAAAAAAATTAAATCAAAAGGGTATTGTTATCTTTTGATATTAGTTTTTTTAATTTAAAAAATGAAACCCATAAAGGTCTGTAACAGCTTTGGTTTGAATTATCAATTAATATTCATCATATTTTTGGAAACGATTTTGAGTATTTTTTTTTTCATTATTTTTAGTCAAAAACATTTTATTTTTTATATTTTTGATAGCCTTCACATCTAGTTTTGATTTCAGATGAATGCATTTTATTTTTCATATGAATCCCAATCTACTTATGCATATTCTCTTCCAACTCTATTTTTCTATCAACTTTGTGTATATTAAGTTGTTTTTAGAATTCAAATCTTTAAACCAACGATTTCACTTGGATTACGATCTTTGACATGATCTCCAGATGAAATCGGTAGCAATTGCCAGTTGTCTCCCGGCCTGAATTTCCTTTCAAGAAGCAAATGGTCGAATCCCTACTCCGTCCTCCATATTTTGCACTATATTCCACGCGTATCATTCTAATCACAACACAACATCGAAAATGCCCCAATTTCCCTCCTAGTCGTTGATCAATTTGATGTGTGGTGTTGGATAAGGTTGTAACCTTTACAAAGTTTGTATTTGATGGCCGCTTCTGTATATATTGGTTGGTTTAGTTTGATGTCAAAAATAAAATAACAAATTTAAATAGAAAATGAAAATGAAAAAGAAGAAGTGCAAGTGCAAGTGGGTGGGGATTTGTATGGTTTTGCCAGTTGCCAAATTGGTTGCGACAGGTCCATATGTGTCCTCAGTCAAAGCCAGTAACGCGTCCAACCCATCCCATGCCCTCAACATTTTTATATATTAAAAAACTATTTAATCCTTTTCCCTAATTTTATTTTAACAAAATTTCAACCATCCACTAAAACCATGCCATGTGTTTCTTCTTCTTTTACTTTTACTTTTACTCAAATGTGGACATGTGTTATGGTAAATAAAATGGTAGTGACTGATTAAAAAAGACAACATAGACCAAATTATACTTATCGAATCTTTTATACTTAATGAAGATGGAAATTAGGGGCGTTCACGGTTTGGTTTGTACAATTTACCCCTTAAAATCATAAACCAAATTGTAATAACGGTTTAAGAAATTTTGTAAACCAAGTTGTTTAATAGCAAATGACCCAACAGGACCACAAAAAGGCGTCTTGTCTGACCGATTTAGACAGTTAGAGCCTTTTATGGGCTTTAAACTTAGAAAACATAACATATTTAAAATGAAATTTATACCAATATAACATTATTAAAAAGTATGATATCGCATTATAAAAGAACATCTATCTCTATAACTAAAAGGCATTGAGCAAGTTGAAAAAATGTTAAACAAAATCCACTAACAATAATTGTAATTTTGGACAAACGTTGAGCAACTCGAGGGACGGTTTGGAATTTTGGATCTGTTTTTTGTGAGACTTCGGAATTTTGCCAATTATGCATAGTATATACGGTCAATTGAGAAATGAAAACTAAATACATAGTGTTTTGGACGGACTCGTTTTTAATTGTGTCATAAAGTTGAATCTATAACATGAAAAAATATAACTAATATATGTGTATTTTGGTGGTTGGTTCGATCCAGACCGCTCAAAAAAATGTTTGACAATTTTTCAAATCAGGTCGGACCGTCAAACCGCAAAAAACGGTCTAGTTTGACTTGGTTTGAACGGTTCAACGATATTTTTGAACACCTCTAACGAAAACATTGAAATCTAAATTGGTTAGTGCATGGACTAGATGTAGAAAAGATGCTTTAAATTATTTGAATTTTGAAGCTACAAATAAGTAAAGTGAACACATTTTATATGCAGAGAACGACAAATGGAATTTAGGAAACCATCAACCAAACATTTAGGGTAAACTCTCAAGTAAAAAGTAGTAAAACTAACTTGTTGGTTCAAGAGTGTTAATGTTAATCGTCTCATATAATAAATCTATTTATAGCATATGTTTATGTGATT